ATTCTATTTCTGTTGAAATAATCCCAATAATCCCAGCATCGTTCAATATAATAAATTGTAATAATTTTATTCGTGTTATATTAGTATACATGTATTTCATATTTTATAAAAACAGACTGAATTCATATTAATTTATGAATTATTATGAAATGATACTTCAACAAAAAAAAGTATCAGAAAAATCTAAAAAAAAATAGCAAAATTTTCAAAATAAATATTACGGAATATATTTGATACAATGATGATTAGGCTTTCATACATGAGAATTTTTTGAAAAATTAAATTATTCCTGAAAAAAATCATTAAATATGTAAGTGTGATAAATTCTGGATAACTTATTCATCATTTCATTTGCGAAATATTCTATAGCAGGAAGATGAAAGATAAATGTTATTATATTATAATTACTACACCGTACTCTGTCGGTACAATGCGTCTCTTACATATGTATGCGACGCAATACTAATTTTTTTGCTTTAATTAATATCACGAGCAAACGTATCTGGAAATTACTTTATAATAAGATTTCAACATTTTTCACAACAATGCATTGCTGTCGTTGTTAACACATTATTAGCAGTTAGTACTAGTAATAATAAATAAATAAAATCTTCCATATGTAACTGTGATGACGACTTTAAAAAGGCGACGAGTCATTCCGGAACCTAAAATTATCGTTACTGTAAAGGCGTGTAAATTAAATTTTTATTGTTATTTTCATTAACGAACATCGTCATTGAAAAAAAATCAGATTAGAGGAAATACATTAGCACATCGATTTTTCTTATATTCTTCTCGAGCAGAATGCATCACGTGGGCCACGGGAGAAACTACGCGATATTAATTCGTCCATTTATCAGACGCCCAGGGGATAATTTCACAAACAACTCATGGCGTTTGCCAAAAATTCGATGGCGAACGAATGTTAAACAATCGTGTGATCTATCAATTTGCATTATATACCATTAAGCCAAGAAGCAACAAGGCCATTTTGCTTTGTAGACCTTACGAGCGAGCGCATCCCGAGAGGCCGCGGATTAAGCTTCATATTTTCCGGATACAAGCTGACACCGGGTGAAAATAATTGATCGAGAGCGCGAGGCCGTTCCGTCGGCACATTTTTCTAGAGGGACGCCACCGAAAATGTTCAGCGAAAAGCTCAGTTTTTATGTTTTTCCGTGACCTACGCTATCGGCGCGAAAATACGCGAGCGTCGAAATTCCGTCGTGGACGGGAGCCGACCGCCGCGGGGACGTCCGACGGAATCCGAAACGAAACCGCATACACGTGGCTACGTGTTCGTTCATTCCGCGATCTCCCGGCGGTGTTATCCACGCCGAAATAACGTCGTGAATCCCAAGTACGTTTACCGCTTCATCACTTTCCACGAAATCATCGGGTCGACATATTGGGTAGGTCTCTCTCCATGGTCCGCGCGTTCAATAATAGAAAGCAACTGTGCGGCATAGCACGACAATCTGACTATTCTACACTGTGTGGGATATAAGACACGAGACACTACTGTTTCGAAGAAAAAGAGAGAAGAAAAGCGTATTTGTTTGAAAAGAAGAAAAATGGAGGACAAGGTTAACAGTGGAAACGCGGCCGTCGAGATTGTCGAGAGCAATGCTGCTCCGGCTAAGAAGACCACCAAGAGTAAGGCGAAGGCGCAGCAGCAGAAAAAAGTTTCGTCGCGACCACCAACCTCCGAGATGGTAACAGCAGCTATTAAGGAGCTGAAGGATCGCAAGGGTTCGTCCTTCCAAGCGATCAAAAAGTACATTGTGTCGACCTATAAAGTGGACGGTGAGAAGGTTACGCCGTTCATCAAGAAATATTTGAAGACCGCTGTCTCCTCGGGTGCTGTTGTACAGACCAAGGGTAAGGGCGCCACCGGCTCTTTCAAACTGTCAACTGATAAACCGAAACCCAAGTCCAAAGGAAAGACTCAAGGCGCCTCAGTTCATTCGGACACGTGGAAAGCTGGGGGGGCTAAGAAGGAGAAGGTAGAGAAAACCAAGAAGTTGAGTGCCGTGAAGAAAACCGCAATGAAAAAAGCTGCGGAGAGCCCGAAGAAACAACCCGCTCAGAAGAAGACTGTTGCCAAAGCTACTGTGAAGAAGAGCAAAGCTGCCACGGAATCGAAATCCCCGTCAAAAGCTAAAAAAGCGGTAAAAGCACCCGCGGCGAAGACCAAAACGCCCAAACCGAAGAAAGCGACAACAACGAAAGCCGTGAAGGCTGCTGCAAAAAAATAATTGTTCTGCAAAGGATATTATTCACAATTGGCCCTTTTCAGGGCCCAAATTATTTTCAACTAGGAACAAACTTGAAAATTCGCAATTCGTCTTATTCCACCTTTGACCCCATAACAATTTTCACGATTGAGAGTTGAAAAACTAATCACAGCTTTCTCTAAAAAAATAATCAGTTATAGTTTATTAAAAACATAACGAATCGTTATTTTTCAATTGCTTTTTTATTTATTTCTTGTAATGTTTACGCATGGCTATTTTAAATCAATCAAGAATCTTACATTTCTAACATTTAACATTTTGAGTTTTTCTTATATTCGATTGCTATATTTTTTTTATATACAATAAATTACAATAATTTAATCAAAGACTCAAAATATATTTTACTTAATATACATATTAACTACATTAATCATTTGTAATAAATTAATACACTTAGAATCAATATGGGATATTTTTCAGCTAAAAAGTTCATTAAATTCAAACAGCCACAACTTTAAATTTTGAAAAATGACGGTAAACAAAATGATAACAACTCTCGAAGATAATTTGTTTCTGAAAATAGCTTTAAATAGATATTTATCTATTTTTATTAAATTTCATAACATCTCAATACATTTATCCATCCATTTAACAATTATCAAGTTTACACTCGAAATACAACAAATTTAACGAAATAATTTTGTATAAATAAAAGCAGGGATATGGAGAGGAAACTGGGATATATAAAGTAACTATAAGCTGCCACGGAATCAAAATCCCCATCAATACAATTATTAGAAAAAATTTGCACTTTTTACGTTTCGCTCCAAGAGAAAAAGTTTATATGATCGGTATTTAGAATGGGGAAATAGCTACGTTACAAATAACGAATTACTTCCTAATCTTGAAAATTCCACTTTTGAGTTGAGTACGAAGAATTTTCAAATTCAATATATTTTTTTGTCACTTAAACTCGCCAATATTATCGTTATTAAATAATTATTTTTTATACATAGGTCCGATAATATTAGTACGGAAAAATTTTTCAGATATAAGAAACGTCAGTCAAATTTATTCGGATGTTTCAGGAAAAAATATATTTCCATTATCACATTTATTGTATTTAATATAAGAACTTTTTCAACTTTTAGTAATTGCTTTTTAATTCTTTCTAGAAAAAAATGATTCTCAAATAACATAAAGTTCAAAATCGAAACATGAAGACATACGTTTTTTGAACTATGGATTGTTCTGGATTAGAAGATTGAATTTCATCTGTCAAAATTTGATATACTTCCTTTCGTTGGATAGATTTTTAATTCTTCAGTTATGTATAGTTCAAATTTCACAAGAATTAATGAAAATATAAGTAATAAAAAAAATAGAAGTACACAAATAGCTGATACATTATATATATATTAATTAAATTTGTAGCTATTTGACTTACCAACACTAAGATCTCATCCACGTAACTCATCAAAATAATATAAGCATATTTTTGCATATTTACACAAAAAATATATAAATATATATTGTACAATATATATTTATATATTTGTCGAAGAGCTGTTATTAATCAGATATCGATAAATTAGGTCGCTGTAATATTAATCAAATTATTACGTATGAGACAATGGCCGCATCTAAGCTAACAAGCTAAGTTTGCTCGTCAAGCGATCAAATAAGATTGATTTTTATTTTTGATATTATATTTGATATTATAGATTTATAGATCAAGATCCAATTATATTTAATTGCTCTGTGAGCAAACTTAGCTGCTTTTACTATCTTGGATGCGCTCGCAATCATCGTTATCATAATCTAGTAGTTTATAATGATTATCTCTAAATCACCTAACATTTCATTCGTATCCTTATCAGTAGATTGACAAATATCAACAATATTATAGCGAAAGTTATTACAAGCAAATAATTTATATAACCATACAGTTTATATTTCGATTCGCGTTCATAGAATAGAATTCCTCCCCCTCAGATGAAAGTTCTCTTTTTTTTATAGTATTCTCCAATTATTGAAAATAAAAATAGTGATGGACCGAAGAGTGATTGAGGTTAATAGAAATGACGAAGAATTGCGAATTTTTTTCCGTTTTTCATTCACATTTCACGCATTCACTTTTAAACTGATATTTTATTTCTAAGTTTAATCTAAGTAATATGCAAATTACACATTGGTGCTACATCCACAAGTAATCGAACCACACATAGTATTACTACTTGTTGAATATGAAACTTTAGTGCGTTAAATTGATACTTAAAGCAGCAGCACGCACGCGTATTTCGATTTGCGAGATTGCGGATCGAACGTTATATTATCTACTTTTATTACTAAAAAAGAAAGAAAATGCATGTGCACTGTTGCAGTTTATTATATTTTATCGAAAAATATTTATTTTTATACGATAGCTACGTAAAAATATCAAATTAAAAAACAAGCATCGGAGCAATTGAGACTTTACTTTTTATTAATTTATTGGTAGTATTTTTATTTTTGTAAATCAAGTTATCTTCTATTAAATATTATATTAGAGTATTTAAAGATGTGTCTTGTATTGATGCTAAGAATATTCCCAATGTTATTAAGAATTGTTGGCCCTGAAAAGGGCCGTTGATTTGATTTTGATGATTGGAGGATCGCATTTAACCACCGAAACCGTACAGGGTTCTTCCTTGACGTTTCAGAGCGTAGACCACGTCCATAGCTGTTACAGTCTTCCTCTTAGCGTGCTCGGTGTAGGTTACAGCATCGCGGATGACGTTTTCCAAGAAGACTTTCAGGACGCCTCTGGTCTCTTCGTATATCAAGCCAGAAATACGCTTGACACCGCCACGTCTAGCCAATCGACGAATAGCAGGCTTGGTAATACCTTGAATGTTATCACGCAAGACCTTCCTATGGCGCTTCGCTCCTCCTTTTCCCAACCCCTTTCCTCCCTTTCCGCGACCAGTCATCTTGAACTAACTACGAAACTCACTAAAGAATCACTCGACGAGAAGTGCTACCGATCTTGTTGCGTCACTCATTTATATAGTCACACTGGCAGTCATATCCCCTCTACGACAGCAATAGCCAATCATTAATGCTGCCGTAGTATAGGCTAATGCCGCATCGTGGCGCGATTGTGCATTGAAAGTACGTGTGAAATTAACCTCCTATATCATATTACGATTAAATATAACATTTTCTTACATATTGTATCATGTATCTTAAAAATGGCACGCATATTATGTTACATAAAAATATATATTATTTTTGACAAGTAATATACAGCATTTGTCACGAATGCTTATACAATTTATCATCATTTATATTTAATATTACAAAATAATTTATTAATATACATTTACAATAAATCAGTTTTATCTTTTATTGTTGTCTAAAACAAATAAGAAGCAAGGAAATATTAAGTACAAATAAGAAATTAAATTTTGAAGATACATCAAGTAATTGAATGTTTTAATATTGAATATTTATCATTAGAGGAAAATATAGATATGTACATATATATTATATACATATATGTATTTATTTTTATAAGCCAGAATTAAGAAATATGTCGGAAACATTTATCAGGCATTTATTGCGTAAAGTTTAATCATACATTTAGTTAGAATAACACAAAAATTCTAAATTTTGAAACCAACAATTTTAAAAGATTAATCTCAGAAATGACCCAGATTAAAGAAAAAAAATGGAATTAACTAAATTATTGGATAGCGTTTATTTTAACTTATTTCATACACAATCGTTAACATGTTTAAAATACGTGTTATTGTGGTTCAATTTACTTATAAAATTAATATTTTCCATTACATAAATACTATATAATTCTCGCCATATGTCTTTAAGACCGGTATTCATAATTGGTTCTTCTTATATTTAAGACAATCTTAAGTAAAGTCTCTTAAGATATCATAAACCAATCACAGAGTTATATTAGTGTCTTAAAATATTAGACCGTTTAAAAACAAATTATAAGTAACAGTTTGTATATTTAGTCAGAGATAACAATTGTTAACAATCAGATGCCACCTGGACTTCATTGATATACTTTTGACAATTTGATGAATTCTAAAAAGGTAATATCATTTATATTTTTATATAATTTTGGATTTCTAACCTCTTCTCTCTCATTTATATAATTTAACTCATATAAATTATTTTAATTATTATGCACAAATATTTATTTATAACGAATATGTAAAAATTTAAATCTTAATAAATTAGTCTATTTGAAATCTTTTATAACGAAAAATTAAGAGCGAATAGAACTATATAATTACGAATTATAGTTATAACGATTAAAAACATCGATCACGTTTCATTTTCTAGATGATTTATTAACTATTTATTATATTTTTTTAATATTGACATTTTCACTTGTGATCTTCGTGACTTTTACTTTCGTTTATTTAAAATCTTCTTGTATATTTTAAATTTTATAAATGTTTGATCTAAAACATGTGTTTTCTTTTATATTTATCTCTTTATTCTTATTAACCGTTACAAGTGACAAAAATTAAACAGAGTCGAAATTTATTGCGATATACTTTAATTGATACTCTTAATTATTCCAAAATTTTGTAAATTGCATTGCAATAATATATAAAATATTTCTTCATATATAATGCATTGTCAAAAAATCAAATTCGTTCATTTCCATTTACAGATTTATCGAGGCATTGCCTTAAGTATCTCGAACGTTACGAGAAGAGATATTAAATCAAACGAATTCCATGAAAATTGAATTTTATTTACGGCATTGACTTTAACACTTATTGCGATTCTTTGAGAAATTTTTTATCTTTCGCTGAAGGTTTTGAAGAATCAGCATGATGTACGACGTACAGAATAAAACCGTAATGATCACTGGAGCAGCTCGTGGATTAGGCTACAAATATGCCGAGATATTACTTCGTAATGGTGCAAAATGTGTTGCCATAGTCGATTTGCCAACGTCGAACGGACAGGATGCAGCGGTGACATTGGAAAAGGAATTTGGAAAGGATAGAGCTGCCTTTTACGCCTGCGACGTAATTAAGGCAGAAGATCTGGAAAGAACGTTCAAGGAGATTGTGGAAACGTTCGAGGGGCTCGACATTATTATTAATAATGCTGGTATATTAGATGACAAACACTGGGAGCGGATGATCGAAGTCAATATCAAGGCGGTGATATGTGGCTCTCTCTTGGCAATGGACCATATGGGAAAACATAGAGGTGGCGAAGGTGGTGTAATCGTGAACATTGCATCGATAGCTGGATTAGTCCCATGTAGTTTTGCACCGATATATACCGCTACGAAACACGCCGTTCTTGGATTTAGTCAGGCTCTGTCACATACGTACGACGAGACTGGAGTACGAGTTCTTATCATGTGTCCCGGCTCTACGGACACTTCAATAGCTAAAAATTTCTGGGATAGAACATGCGAACTTATTTATAGATTAAGTGTGGTTAGAAACGAAATAGGAACACTGAAATGTCTGAAACAATCTCCCGATCATGTAGCACTTGCAATGTTAGATCTCATCCAAAAGGGTGAAAATGGGGTTGCTTGGGTCAGCGAAAACGGTGAACCACCTTACGCCATAGATTTTATTCATTATTCCAAGCGAGCTCTGCCTGTATAAAAATTATATTTGATAACTTTTTTCGCATTTGTTAATAAAATAATATCGAGAAAACGCTCGATCATGTCTCTCAAGATGTCAAGATGGTGATACGTGGCACACTCTTGGCAATGACCATATAGTCAAACGTAATATTAACAAAGGTGTAATAGTGAATATTTTATATATAGTCGGATTGTTTTTATACACCGTTTTTATATTCCGCCTCGAAATATGCCGTTCTCGAATTTTATTAGGCAACGACAGATTTGTATGATAAGATTGGATTATGAATTGTCATGTGTCCAGGCGTTACAGTAATAGCGTTAGTTGCAAATATTTTTGTAAAAATTTGTGACACTGTGAACGCTATATACGGCGATGTCGATAACTTCAAAACAAACCTTCCGACATAGTTAGTCGATTACGTACATTTGTAACGTTAGATCTTATCTTATCGTAACAAAAAATATGGGTCAGCGAAGATAATCAATTATCTTACATAAGAATTTATCCATTATTCCAAGTGATCTCTGTCTATATAAAAGTCATATTTAATAACATGTTTTTTTACTATTTTTTTTCACAAGACCACATAATGATAAAATATTACATTAGTTATGTATAATTGATGACATATTTCAATCTTAAAATAAACACTTGATATTAAATTGGTTTTATGCATGGAATATTAAAATTCCCGAATAAAATCCTTAAAAACAGAAAATTCTTAAAGTTCTTTGTTGTCGATGACTTATATCTTATATTACAAGTTGTGGATAATTTATTAATATAAATATTTGTGATTATTTGGACATTAAAAATGATATAATCTTTGATATTAATTATTAATTAGTAAATTACATATTCACATATTGAATATTTAAATTTTATCTTTTTTATATTTAATTATCAAATATTTTTATATATCAAATATTTATTACACTTATATATAATCCAAAAATCCTCGCCAATGAGAAAAACGCAGTCTCAAAGTCAGGGAATACTTTGACTTAATCTCAACTAATAACTCTCGGTAGTTCTTGAATTTGCGGATAGATTAGAAATAATAAGCCTTTTACTTTTTTATTATTCTTTTTTTATTTTTTTCTACTTAGTCTTTTATTATATTTCTCTTTAATTATATTTTATGAAGTATATTATAGAGCTCGTACAGGACATTAAATCTTGACTTGGAGCAATACAAAATGCAATACAAAATAATTCTAAATATAACGACTTGCAAATAATTTCTTCTCGTTGACCTGAGATCTGTTTTTTGTGGACACTTCTACATGTGTTATTTCTTTGCCTGTTGTTTTAGGGCATTACGATATAAAATTATATACCATTAATATTATAATAACATTCTAGTCGCAAGCTTATAAACATCACTATCGGTTTCGTGCTATTTTGCAGATAATGTTTCAAATTTATGATTAAGGTTATAAGTCATCGTTTTCCTCAAGAAATTTGGTTATCTAATCTGTACGTGATAGTGCTCCGCACGTGACATAAATAATTACACGAACTTCCTACTTATGATACTAACTTATGGTAAATAATTGGTTTTTATGATTTTTTTAGATGAAATTACGAGTATATTCTTATAACGTTTTGCTCCTCTTTTCCAGATTTATTTTTCTTATATTAGCTGGAATTATATAATCATGTTTCCTGTATTTTCTACTTAAGCATTATTATACTTTTTTTTATTGATGCTTAAATAATTTTAAGGTAAAGATTTCTTTTTAAAAAAGTCTTTATTTATTAGCTATGCCTTATGTGTTTTCTAGTGTGCGGTACTTTATATATAATAATATTTTTAAAAAATGAATTTGAATTTAAATTTTTGACATGCTTTTGTACAAAAATAACAAATTAGTACATAAATATCATTAAATTTTTTGCATAAACTTTAAGCATAAACTTTATTCGTAATGGGCTATTTAAAATAAAGACGTCTTTTTAATGTTGAAAGAAAAAATAAGAATATAGGATTCTGTTAAATAAAAAGTATTCTAGTATATATTTCTATCCTAATAATATATTCTCTGCTTTCAGTATTGGGCAACATAGATTAGTGCTCGGAATTAATTGTCCAATTTCGAAAGTGACGCTATTAATTTCTTCATTATCGCTTGAAGTTTGATAGCCGAGCTGTTGATTACACATGCGATACTCAGCTTCAAAGGCGTTTCAGAAATACTAAAATCGTATCTTTCGCCAAATAGTCATTAAAACATTAGTCTTATTAAATAATTTTATTTTCCTAAATGATAGAATATTAAATTTTTTATTCTGAATATACTCGTTATCATTATGATTTCTCAGCATAACTTTTAAATATTAACGACTTGTGAATGACTTGAACTTTCAATATTTAATATTTATTCTACAGTAAAATGTTTTTGTAAAATGTATTATTGATTCTTATTTGAATTTTAACTCTACAATTTCATAAAAAACAAATTAATTGCATTATTGCGAATTATTTATAATAAAGAGTCATTAAAACATCATTAAGCATTTCAGAAAAGTACGTATCATATAAATAACTAATAACAAGACATAACAAAACAAGATTGATATTAAGACATTCATCTTGATGACAAGAAATATTAAGACGAATGAGTTCCATATAAGGTATATTTTATACACAGCTTAATTACACTTTACAATTCGTTAAACAAGTCCATATCCTTCTGTTCTGAAGACTTTAAGAGATCATAATGTACACCGTAGAAAATAAAACTGTAATCATCACTGCAATGTAACGTAATATTTGAAGGAAGTATTATTTGTTACCTTATCGTTTCTCTTACTCTCAATAAAACAAGATAAGATGTGACGATATGTTGGTTATATTATATTACTTTGTGCACAGTATTAGACAGTACTACACAATTATCATTCATTGAGGTTCACATCTCATTGAAGCTTCAAGAGATAAGCAAAATGTACAACGTAGAGAATAAAACAGTGATGATCACTGGAGCAGCTCGCGGATTGGGCTATAAGTATGCCGAAATATTACTTCGCAATGGTGCAAAATGTATTGCCATAGTCGATTTCTCAATATCGGACGGACAGAATGCAGCGACGACGTTGGAAAACGAATTTGGAAAGGGTCGTGCCATCTTCTATGCCTGCGACGTGACGAAGGCAGAAGACTTGGAAAAAACATACAAGAACATTGTTAACTCATTTGAGGGGCTTGATATTATTATTAACAATGCTGGTATATTTAATGACAAACTCTGGGAGCGGACGATCGAAGTCAATATCAAGGCGCTGATACATAGTTCCTTTTTGGCAATGGATTACATGGGGAAGCATAAGGGTGGCAAAGGTGGTATAATTGTGAACGTTGCATCCGCACTTGCATTATACCCAAATGGTGTCTTCGGGCCAGTATATACCGCTTCGAAATACGCCGTTCTTGGATTTAGTCAGATTCTAGCAAATATGTATGACAAAACTGGAGTAAGAGTTCTTATTATGTGTCCCGGCCTTACGGAGACCAGATTTGCTGAAAATATGTCAGATAGAACCTGTGATCTTGTTCATGATACACTAGGTAACATCAACGACTTAATTGATAAGATTACAAGCCAGTCCACCGTTCACGTAGCACTTGCGATGCTAGATCTTATTCAAAAGGGTAAAAACGGAGCTGTTTGGGTCAGTGAAGGTGGTGAGCCATCTTACGCCGTAGATTTTATTCATTATTCCAAACGGTCTCTACCCGTATAAAAATTATATTTGATAACTTGTTTTCTTTTATTTTTTTTTCTTCATTGAAATAATGTTTGCTAGATCTTATATCAGTTATGTATTTCAAATTATGTCAAATTTAAAATAAATTTATTCAAAATAAATATGAAAGAAAAATGTAAAAGAGAATAGGAGTGAGCAAATTAATTATTACAATTTGTATGATACGTTCAAATAAAATCCTTAAAACAAAATCATATCATGTTACAAAATATGAATAATTTAATAACCTAAATACATATAATTCTTTATATCAAAATTATAATATCTTTAAAATTGACGATATCTTTAAAATTGATTAGTATAAATTATATATTCATATTGTTTAAGGTAAAGTAAATATTTTTATAACAATAATGATAATTACAGCCGATATATGTTCATCAAGACAATGCTTATCACGAAATTTAAAAAATTGAAAAGTGAAAAATACGATACGAAAACCCAATCTGTCGATGGAAGCCTCTATTGTCTATTTGTTGAAACATATA